CAGGAATGACGCTGGATGGCTGAATCCCGTTCTAAGTATCCCAGGCAAACAGTTTCTGGGAGGGAAATGACATTATTTAGTTCTATGTTAAAGCTAATTGTTCCTGCACACAGAGTTTTATTGGGCTTTTCTTCCAGAAACTCACTCCTAATGGTGAGAAATTGCCTTCTAATTTCCAGAAGAAATTAGCGGTCAGCTGATGGTGGTGTTCACGTGCCAGCATTGTCCATTAGCTTATTAGTTTCTTCTCCCAGTGGTGTTTATGCTGGGATATTTACAGAAAGCGACCGCATCTTTTCTCAGCTTTGTTCTACTAGCTAAGTAAGCCAACCTCCCAAATGTTTCCTTATAAACAGACCGTCCATTTCCCCAAACATCTGCCCTATGAGTTTTCCAATTTTCCTTTCCACACAGTGAGACCCACCACAAATATCATTTGGGGTGAGGTCTCCCTGTGTTGCATACAGGGACTTTAATATTTCATCTCTGCTAGGTGCACCTCCACCTGGAATTATCTTTTTCTGACCATATCACCTTGATGGCTCTGTCTGCCTGCAGTCAGACCTTAATTGTTCCAGCTTCTAGTTGGCAAGCTCTGACTTTACCAAATTCCTGTGAGTCCCCAGGCATAAAACCTTACATTTGGAACCCCACCCCATTTGGAGGACCGCAGCCCTCATCAGCACGCAGCCCTTCCAGCTCTGCGCTGACTTTCTCCTGTACCACCCAACTTCACATCATCAGCAAATTCCTCTACTACATCAGCACTGGAAGGAGGAACGTCTGGAGGAAACACTTCAGCAAGCTCAGCCACAAGACCTATTCTTGACAACTTCCATCAATAACCTTCTTAGGGCCAGCACTTCCCTCACAGGAGCAGCGCCTCAGAACGCGTCGCCATCAAGGGAGATTTGTACTGGCACACCCCGAAAGTCACGAAAGCGATCTCCCCGCCCCAGGTGACTACCATCAGGCAGAGCACTCTTGCTGGTTTAGCGACATGCCAGTTCAATGTCTTTGCAACCACGTGCTTTAAATTCATGCATTTGACTACCTACGGCATTACCACCACAAAGGTTTAAGACAAGCGATGGGGGGGGGAGGAATGAGTATGAAGTCCTCACTACTGGATAAATTAGATTCTGTAATTCCAGTTTTATTTCTGTGCAAGAACAAAACAAGAACTCAGTTTCCTAAGTTTCATGAAAAGCAATTTAGAGAACTATATGTCAAGAAAGGATTATTACTAATTTTTCACCAACATTCCACCTCACTCACCCAATTTTTATTTCTGTTAAACCTCTAACTTAAAGTATTTTCTGAAAATTTCAGCTATCTCATGAAATATGTTACTGACAACCTAATCAGGTTGAAAATAGAAATCCAGCACCACTAGCTTGTATTGTCTATGGTAAAAGTTACTACACAAGTCGTATATTCCACAACTTAAAACAAGTACACCAGCACTAAGGGATTACACTGTCTGAAAACGCTCGTCTCTGCACCGAGCTCTGCTATCAAGAGGCATATAAATAAAGAGCCTGGACACGTCCTCACGACCCCCACAAGAGCTGACGAACACCTCTTCCTGCCCACTTCAGTTGGGGTTTAAAGGAAACCTCAACAAGATGACCCGATTCTACACCTTGCAGGTCGCTGGTGATAAGCCTAACACGACCACATCGTATATCAATCTCCCTCCTCACCTGTGCCCCGTTTTATTCACCCATTCCCTGTCACAAAGAGAACCAGCGTCTCAAAAGCACTTTGAGGTAGGGCTCGTTCGTTACCTCTGCGTACAACAGGTAATGCAGAGCTGGGCCTCCATGCACCCTGCAGTAAAATGGCTAAGCCAGCAGCTTGACTGCAGCACAAAGTGCCTCCACATCTAACATGGCGAGGGCACAGGGCTTGCTACCAATGTAAAAGCCAACAGGCATCATGCGACCACTTCTCCCTGCAAATTTCTCTAAACAAAACACACAAGAAAAAAACATTTTTTTCTAAAACCCAAACCATTAAGTAATAAATTAAGAACCTTATATCACCATTATTTTTTCCTCCCATTAAAATCAGAGCAAGACTTCTACAAACTGGACTTCACAGGTCTTGCATTTCCTCAAGCGCAGTGCCAGGAACAGCAGGCAGTGCTCTCAGCTAAACCGAGAAAGTACGAAAGAATACAAAGACATGTGTAGCCAGACAAGAAGAATTCACCAGAAACTGACTTTTTACAAGCTAGGCTTAGGCTTTAGTATATGCCGGAGTGTCGCAACAGAGTCAGGAGAGGGGTGTTTTGTAACAGGTTCTGTGATTTTATCGCACCGCAGCACAGGTGGGCTCAGCTCACACCCACCAGCAGAATCAGCCGGATTTTGACTTACAGAGGCTGTCAGTGGCTGGTGGCTGTCAGGACAAAACCAGAAGCCTCACATAAACAGACGCGTGGCAGCTGAACTCCAGAGCAGTACAAGACAGCCAGACTAGAGAAACTCACCCAACTATTTCAAACCGAGTCAAACTCTGAACTCGGTCCCACCAACCTACTGCATCCTTCAAGTTCAGAAACCCAGAACTGTCCTACTGGATCAAGTGTCCTTACAGACCAACACCCAGCCCGACTGCCGGAACCCATATCTGAGGAGCATTATGTGTAGCAGAACAAACAGGCTAAGCCTTGTCATAGCAAGCCCTCGCATCTTCAAACAAGCGATGCCTTCAGACTTGCCACTAACCAACCACACTGAAACGGTCCAAGAGACATTCTTCTTCCTCTAAAAATTTGTGCAGTCTTTCATACCCATTTATAGTGTTTATGGCAACGCACCACCCCAAAATTTGCATACACATTCTGTGAGACTTTACATCCTTTTGTTTTCGCTTGCTGCTCAATAAAAGAAGCATTACAGATATCCAGAGAAATTATGACAAACAGTACTTTCCCTATTTGCCCTTATCACTCACTGCTTTAATTTTGATGATGTTGTACATCACTTCAGTATAAGGGACATGAATCCATTAGGTCTTCCTTCTCACTATTTTGATGCCCTTCTCCATCTGTAACTCTCCAATGTCCCTTTCAAAAGAGGTATGCTTATCCTGCCAACACTTCCCCTCAATCCCCAAGGTGCTCATGTCGCAGATTCAGACATTTGCTTAATCCAAGTTCTCATTTCCTTTTCGAAGAGTTTTTCCCTACCTCTTGCCTTTTGGACCAGTGCCTGGCAAGCAGACATTCATTTCAGAGACCTACTTGCAATAATTTCAAAATCATTCCAGAGTGGTGACAGCCTATTTAGCACCACCACCACCCTTGGGAAGTTACCAGAGTTTCCACAATTTGCATTACTCTGCATTTGTTGTGTTATTTCAGCTGCCGCAGTAATCCCAGTTATGTGACGTTGCATCGACTTCCTGCAGTCTACTTTAGCTTTGCAAAACCTTCACAACACCATTTTCAC